CACACAGACACACACACACACACACACACACACACACACACACATTTATGTATCTTTTCTCCAACGCCCACACGCACAAGGGCTCGCAATAACACTGCAGGCGAAAAGCCACTCATGTTCTCACCTTGGGAAATTCTGACTGGCTGAGTGCTGATTTTTTGACACAGCTTTCGAAACTTTGAGAAGGCGGGGGTGGAGGGGGAGCGATGGAGAGGGGGTGAGGGTATGCTTATTGTTTTTGTGGTTGTTGCTCCTGCTGTTGTTGATGTTGCTGGTGCTGCCACCCCTTCTGAATATGTTGTTCTTGTTGCTTTTGTTGGTGGTGGTAGTGGTGTTAAGCTGGCGGTTGAGGTTTTACTTTTGTTGAGGTTTTTATTTTTTAAAATATTTTTGCAGAAAGAGAGAAGACAAAAACTGGCTGGGCAATTCTGTGTGGACAGACTGAGAGAACATCAGAGGACCATAAAGTATGGAGATGAGTAGTGACGTCATCGTCAGAATGTCAGTAGAGCTCCAACAGCATCACCAGCAGACCCTGTACTGTTGTAGACGAACGTTAATTTCGGAGGTCCCACTTCATAGTGCTGAAAGAGGAGTTAAACCCATAGACTTCTGTTTCAGGTTGGGTTTTTTTCTTTTTTTTTCATCAGATTTTAGAAGGACGAACGAGGTGCAAGGTACGGGTAAGGAAATTGGCAAGGAAATATATGGCAATGTATTTACAAGTAGTATACTTTATAACAACATGTATTTACTTCTTTTCTTTTAAAAATAGTCAAAGGCTACTGCCGAAAGGGGTGCCGCTCTGTTCTACTTTGAAAGTGAACTCTGCCTGTGTTATGCTACAAAGTCCATGTCACAGACAACGGTTGTTTGTTTGTTGGGTTTTTGTTGTTGTTGATGTTTTTGGGGTTGTTGTTGTCTTGTTTGTTTTTGTTTTGTTGTTGTTGTAGTTTGGTTTTGTTGTTTGTTGGTTTGGTTGTTGTTGTTTTGTTGTTTTGTTGTTGTTGTTTTGTTTGTTGTTTTTTTGTTAGGTTGTTTTTTTTTGGGGGGGGCTGGTTGTTGTTTTGTGTTTCCGAAATATAATGTGGGGTTTTTTTTACCACATATGGTTACAGAAGACAAAAAATCCACACAAAATCTAGATCTACCCTTGTTGGAATATTTAGCTAGTATTTTATGACAAGAGATCAATGACAAAAGCCTCGAAAAGACGTACTGGAACTAGGGGAAACAGGATCCTTTTCTTCTTAAGTAAGGGAAAAAACATAGGTCGGGAAACAGGTACACAACAGATAGCGTGAGCCCAAGTTGGCAAGGCAACATGTTATTGTTCTACCAGGGCACCAAGGGGAGGTTTCAGTACAGGGATTACGTTACTAAAATAGAAAGCTAGTATACCTCTCCCTCCC